AATTGTTGACACGCCACGCAGACGCAGATGGAAAGATGGAGAGACATCGCTGACATTGACACAATGCACACGGAATGGGGGAATCGGAAAGGGGAGTCGACTTGGGGATTTGGGGAATCGACCCACGGGTACCCATTAAAAATACTGCCAAAAGATTACCAGAGCCGCAAAGCCACAATCATTTAGAGGTATGCCACTTGGAAATCGGATGTCTGTAAGAAAAGTTATGGGCTAAGAAGTGCAGTTTTTGGACACTTTTCTGCAAAAGCCGTTTTCCAAAAATTTGGAAAGGGGTAACATCATTAAAATCACGGAAAATCGACCCCAAAATACAAACAAAGCTGAGTACCCAGATTTTTAGAGAATTAAATCACAATCATTTAGAGGTATGCCGCTTTGAAATCGGTTGTCTCTAAGAAAAGTTATGGGCTGAGAAGTGCAGGTTTTAGGTCATTTTTCTGCAAAGCCATTTTTTCGAAAATTTGGAAAGGGGTAACATCATTAAAACTACGAAAAATCGACCCAAAATTATAAATCAAACTGAGTACACAGATTTTTAGAGAACTAAACCACAATCAATTAATGGTATGCCATTTTGAAATCGGATGTCTGTAATAAAAGTTATGGGCTTGGAAGTGCATGTTTTGGTCATTTTTCTGCAAATCCATTTTTCGGAAAACTGGAACTTTAAATAAGTTTTTATTTTATTTTTGTTTTAATGTTAATTTTTATTAAAGGTTCCTTAGAATTTCAGTTGATTCGAAGTAAGTAGAATCGGTTCACGAAATACTTGCAAAATTCCCACATAATTTAAATTGAATATTAAATGGTTCTAAAATTGAACACGCAGTACATGCCTTACAAAATATCACGGTACCCAATATCCCCGATTAAAAAGCAGCAATTTCAAGGGAAACTCCACTCAAGAGGCGACAAAGTTGCACAAAGTCTGCCCATGATGATGATCACGATCGTAATCGGGATCGGCTGATGATCATTCGCGGAAATATTTTATGCCATTTAATTTCAGACCGCCCCTCCCCCTCCCCCCGCCATACCCATCCCTGTCTGCCATCTAATTGAGTTGTTGGCCAGCCATATAGCTACATATATAGCTGGATAGCCGAAGATCCGAAGAGAGTCGCACGATGGCTGGCAAATATTTATCGGCATATTAATGCAGCATATTTCAAATGCAAAGTCGACTCTCATCTGACTGACTTACTTCCTCAGTGAGCGGCTCCCAAACATGTTTATGCAATTTCCCCGCCTGGTCTTCAGTCTTCAGTCTGCTGTCTTCAGTCTCCAGTCTTTAGTCTCTAGTCTTCGCTCTTCAGTCTTCAGTCTTCGGTCTCCGGTCTCCTATGGTCTATGTCTTGTCTTATCAAATGATTTTATTTATGCTATGGGCGCGCATGTGTGCGATAATTGGATTATTTACTTTCGCGGCTTAGCAGCCAGCGAGTTGTGGAAATTGTCGAGTTTTCGCTTTCTATTAAGTCGACCCAACGGAGACGCCCCTTACATGGGACACTTAATTTTAAAGTTACCCGAATCCAATGCAAGAAAAACCGTTTACAAATATTGTCAAATTTGATTAGGTAATCGAATTGGTGGTTAACAAGGGGAGAAAAGCTTATGGCTTAAGCTGTATTTTATTTTAGAGTTCAATTTATCGGCTAAGGTCAAAAAACCTATTGCGGTTTGTAAACGGTTATAAAACAATTTATAAATAATATATACTTTACACCAGAAATGATATTAAGTATATATTTGGGAACAACCCTTTGAAAAAACTATACAAAATAATATATTACAAATATTTCATAAAATATTTCTGTTGATTTTATTTCTTGTTTGTAGTTTGTTTAATGTAAAATTGCCGATTTGACAGCTCAGGACAGGAGCGACCAATCAACGCCCCTTCCGGCACCAAAACTCCCACTCAACTTAGATGGGGAACTTATAGATTCCAGATCCCAGTTCCCATTCCCATTCCCATTCCCCCGCAATGTCCGTTGGTTTTTAGCCAACTTTGTAACAACACCCAGTTGGCTACCAGGCTGCAAATAGACGTCCAAGACGACGGTTTGGCATTAATATGTATGAGCGGTGTCAGGAGGCAATGCCACAACGCGTTTATCAAACATTTGAAACATGCGTTGACTCCTCCCCCTCCGCCTGCCCCACCCCCTTTTCCACTCCGCCCCCCCCTCCCCTCCCCTCTCCATCGAGCTGGTTGACCCAATTAACCGGGCATTATAAAGTCGTAAAGCATATTGCCAGACGTGCGCGGGGTGGGGAGTGGGGGGGTTGGGGAATTAGCAAACAGTCAAGCCCCCAGGCCAAAGACCGCGCCACAGATAGAGACAGATAGATAGATTGGGGCGGGCAGATAGAGATAGCCAGAGAGCTACACAAAAATAAAATATGATCATAATAAAAAATAAATAATTTAATCTCATAATTTGTTTTGTTTCCCCGCCTATACTAAAATTATTAGAGTTTTCATAATGTTTTAACAGTATTTAAAATTAAGATTGAGCAAGAGAATTGTAACAGTATTACAGTAATCAAACAATTATTGTGCTATGAAACTGGTTCAGATTTTATTTGGATTTCATTTATATTAGGTTAGGAGTTTATGGATTTCCTGCATACTAGTAAATTATAAAATACTTCATTTTATTTCCTATTAATTGCTAAATTCAGTTGGAGTTCATGTTTTCCGTTTAGAATAATCTGTGAACTAATTTGAAATTATATAAATTATATTTTTCTGTGTAAAAAAATAGGTGACAACCGTTCCCGCCACATCCCATTAGATATGCGAGCAAAAATCGAGTGAACTCATAAATCACAAATCACTTAGGCAAACTCTTTTTGGTAGCTGAACAAGATGTCAGGAGTGGCGGGGGAATTGCGGGGGCGGCTGCCAATGGTCATGTTTTGTGCGATAATATTGACAAATTGTGCAAACATTCGCACACAATTAATAAGCGCCGCACAAATGGAGCTGCCCCCCCGAAAAATGGCACAGAAAAAACAGTCATTTTTCGCCCACGTGCTGGGGCGCGTGTTCGCATTTTGCAGAAAGCCAGAAAGTCAGCAAGTCAGAAGACCAAAAGCCAACCGACAAAGCCAAAAGACAAAGCCAAACGGAGCAAAAAGCAAAACAAAGAGCCGGGGAACATGACAACATAATTCAGATTCAGGGAGGGCGCACTGGCGCTACCTAAAAATAAAAGAGGAATCAAGAATGTCGCCAAGTGTCAGGAGACAATGGCGCAAATACAGTGGCACAAGCCTTGGCAATTTAGGTATATTTTATTAAAATATAATTATTTGAATAATTTTTTTATTAGTTTATAGCTGACTAATAGTTTCAATATAATGAATTATACAGCTCAAAGCCTTATTACCACACAATTGGTTTTTAAACATAATATTTGTATTCTTAATTAAATTTCTACTCATGACACTAATATTGCAATGTATTGCGAGAAATGCCTTATAATTATATTTGTTAAAATTTATCGACGTTCTAAAATAATTTTGCCTACTTTTCTATAATTATTAATAAGGGAAGATCCTTTAAGTAATTTTACTTAACGAATATAATGAATTGTTATGAATAAAACAGCCCAAGTCTCTAACAAAATTGGCTCCTTCCATTCCAGAATTGAATTTCCATAATACTCTTGGATAATTAATTTTCGTTGAGATCTTGCCATAAATCATGTTCTCAAGGCGTCCAAATATATTAAGGCCTTTTGCCACTGTGCCAACCGAAACTTCCTCCCCAGCTGAGTGCATCCCATTAAGAATCAGAAGTCCGAACACGTAAAAAGCGCCCACACAGAAGAACCCTGAAGCTGTGGACTTGAAATCAAGTAGCATTTGCAGCCATGAGCTTGCAACTTTTTAGCCGATTGAGTGACCAGAGATACACATTTCCCCCTTTTTATTATTATATGATTGATGATTGCAGTTAGCGATGCGCCGTCGCGCCTTTGAAGTCTTTGAAGTACTATATCTTTTGGCCCTCGGCCAGCACTCGACTTTCGTTTTTTCCAGCCAAAGACTAAAGTCGGCAATTTATGCCGGCATAACTCGTGTGTTTAGGCCAAGTCGCTGCGAATAAGCGGCTTAGTTGGCCAGGAAGCCGCGACGGACATTTGTGTTGACAAATCAATTAAATGCGAAATTTAAAGGCGCACACAGTAGCGCCGCGAGGCAAGAAGTAAGAAGTCTGCACGCAAATGTCGGTGGAAGTTGTTGGACTCCCGGCCTAGAGAATGGGGCAAGCATTCTGTGGAACCGAAAACCAGGTTCCTACTCCTAAAGAAACCTTGTCGACGCTTATCGAAAACATTGATCCGGCCATGCAAATCGTAAAGTGTGAAAACAAATTGCTAAGAGGCCCAAAGGGGAACCAAGAACACATTCGAGAGACTCATTGCAGCCGTCGGATAATTGCACTCGATTTGTAATTCAAGATTAAGGGCAGACAGCTCGTGCGTTTTCCGTTTCTCGACTTAATTTATGTGCAGATCTTGGCCAGGGCATTGTTTCTCCACCGACCCGTGATGATAATCACCTGAAATGTGGGCCATGAGTTAAGTGATTATGTAAATTTTTGCCATGCCGACCAGCTGAGTTGCCCACCTGGAGTCTGGATGCGATGGCATAACCTTCAATTGGCTTTGGGCAGATTGTTGGTAATTGCCAATCGAAAGGCCAGGATTAATGGCCAATTTGGGGGAGTTAGTGAAAGTCTGTTCTGGCGACTTTAATAACTTAAGTAACCACACGGAAGGGAGGCAGAAGTTTTAAACAATTTAACATAAGATACCAGTTCAGTCAATACTAGGAAATGTAATACCCCAGCAACTTACGGACTTAAAGAATCTTATTTATATTTTATTATTACCATAAATTACATTATTATATCTCTTTAAAAACTAGTGTTAATTAACAATATAAATTTGCATACTTACATCGTATTTACTTGACCTCATTTTACCCATTTATTTTGCATCTAATTTGCATTCGTATTTCGTCTACGCTTCTTTGTTAAATTCAATCCAGTCGAACATTTAGAATGCGATTTCGGTGAATCGATTTTGGGGGCCAATTTTTCAGTGTTTTTTTTTTTGCGATTATGCGGTTATACTTTTTTTTTTTTGGTATTAGGCTTAAGAATTTTGAACACTTTGCAATTGCGATTGATTTAAGCACTTTATTAATTTGTGTCAGTTGATATATCAATTGAACAGTCTTTGATTATTGTTAGTTTCTGAGTAGTGTGGTGTGGCGACTGCAAGCAACAAAAGGGTCCCCGAAAAAATATTACTCATACGACACGTGCCACGTGAAAAGCAGCAGCTGACTGACTGAAATTGAAACCGTAACCGAAACCGAAACCGAACGAGCAGGAAAACCCCCAAAAGCGAATGGAAGTGGCAAGAAGCAGAACAGTGTGGAATACGTACGGACCATAGAACACGGACTACGGAAAACAGGCCAAAGGCAGGAAATCAAAAACGATTCCGATAAACCAGGCTGACTGTTACTTTCAGCTGGTTCCCCGCAGAGCCAAAAAAAAAAAAAAAGACTGTTTACGATTCGCGATTTACGACTGCCACCTTGCTGTTAATGTTCTCTCATTTCTCTCGCCGCCCGTGGGGCTTTTCATTTTGGCTTTTCCTTTGGCCTGACACGTTTCAGTCCGCCGTGTTGTTTGCGGGAAAAATCGTTAGGCGGCAACAACAACAGCGGGAAAGCCAGAACGGCAGCAAAATGCCAAAACTGCACGAAACAGACGATGGAAGCACTGAGAAAAAATTATAGTTAAATCAGGCATTCGGCTTACAGCAAACAAATTCGGTCTTACATAACTCAAGACTATTGTCAATTAAAAAACAAAAGTTTGACCTAAACTTAAACATAATAGTACAATAAAAAATGGTTTTCTATACAAACTGGAAATAATGAAAGAACTTTGTTTTCTAAAACCTGGATTGAAACCATTTTAAGCGAAATAAAATCAAATTATCAGCTTTTAAACCTTAAACTCATACTTAAGCTATTAAAAGATAATAAATATCTTCTCAAAATATTCAAGGCCCGTACATTTTTTTATAATACTATTTTAAGCTAAAACAATAGTTCTAACTGTAAAATCCCTTCATTTTAAAGTTTATTTCCCACTTTTTAGGACACTTTTTCGCTCAGTGAAGGGGGACAGCAGCAGCCACGTGAAAAATGCCGGAAACAGAAATCGATTTGCAGCAAAAAGAAGGCCCCAAAAAGGGGGAGGTTCGGGCGAGTGGTGTGTTATGCACTCTGAGGTCACGATAGCGAGGCTCTTCTGTGGGGGAATCCTTAAATTAAAGTTCTCGGTGAACAGCAAATTATGTCACATACACGCAGCGCACGAAAGTAGGCAACGTTTTAGGCTCGAATACACGGCGAAAATCACACTTATGCGCTCGACAAAATTTATCTTAATGTTTTACAAATGGCGAAATAATTATGGAATTTTTTGTTGAAATTTTTTACCCGATTTTATGAGCGTTTACCCGATGTCGCTGGGCGCTGCTGCCTGTGCTGCTGCAGCGCTGAAAATTCACGTAACAATTGATTTGTGTGTCAAAAATGTCACAAGTGTCAAAACTTTACAGTGGAGAGCAACACTGAGAGAAACGGAGAAGCCGAGAGATTTAGAGAGATGGAAAACCGGTCGAAGAGGAGAACACCAGCTGCGCCGCTGCGCAAAGAGAGAGAATAGTTGTCTAAGAGAAAGCCAACAACACGTGTGTGTCCTGTCAACGAGAATCTAATCCTCAACCAGGATTTTCACGGAGAATTAAGAGCTTCGGAATTATCTTAAGCTTTATGTTGAAAATCTATGATCAGATGAAAATAGAACTGCTCTCAAAAAAGAAATTCAGTCTGAATACTTTAGGGATAGTCTTTAAACATTGATAAATGATATTAATAATTACTTCGGACTAGAGAGACCTAAGCATTATTTTGAAATAGAAACCGAGCATTGGATATACGATTTTAATGAGTTTAATGTTAATTTATAGATATAAGCCTAAGAAAGCATTAAAATTAAATATATAAAAAAATCTGCTATTTAAATGTTATGCAATTAAACAAAAATGGTTGTCTTTAATTTCATAAGCATTGCAAAAATAAAAGATAATGTTTAGATTGTTAGATGTATCAGAGGGGTTCCTCTTGTTCAAAATATATAATTTTATAACAACATTTAAACTGCTGCCCCAGAAAAAAACACACTTCTTACGCTTACAATTAAGTTCACTTGTGCTAGGGCTCACTGTGCCCATAACTTTTCCACCTATTTATGAATCACTTGACCATCCCCCGAATGTTTCAAGCGGAAACCCATACTTTAAGTCCTGCCAGCTAAGCCAAAAAGGGGTTCGTTTTTCGTCTATTCCTTTAGATCCTGCCTAAACGGCTTAAAAGGCTCGAATGAACGCAGGCAAAAACGTTTTTCTCCGACATTTCGACCGCAAGAAAACAAATGGAATAAAAACTCCAAGGGTGGCCAACAAGGTGTTAAGCTCCAACGCACACAAACACTAAAAATTATTATTTTTTGTATGATTTCTTTTATTCAAATGCAAGTTATTAACATAATTCACGTTTATTAAATGGTTTTAATGGATTATTTTTTTGGTTTATATTTCATTGTTATTGTTTAATTAATTGAACTCGAGTTGTGTTCGTTATTTTTTGATTTGAATTCCGATTTCGATTTCGAACCGATTCGCGACTGCGGTTTGTTATGTTTTGTTGTTGCGAACCCAACTAAATGCGATGCGAAACTGGCCAACAAAATGCGATATATTTCGCTGCCTCTGCTGCAGTCGCTGTCGCTGCAGGCGTCGCTGCCTCTGCCACTGCCGGCGTCGACTGAAGCAGAGCATTGGCTTTTCTTATTGGAACAAATACTCGGGAGACTTTGAGACCGGCCAGTTTTTTTAATAGTTCCTGGGGGAAAGGGGGCGGTGTATATACTCTCCACTTGAGGCTAATAAGAAGAAGAGGAAGAATCAGGGAAAGAGGAAGAAAAAAACGACAACAACAACCGCAATGAGAGCCAGTTGATTGCAACAGGAGCTTGAAGCAGCGACGCCGACTGCGCTGCCATAAAAAAAGAGAAAACTTTTCGCTCTTTCAAGTTTGCGGAAGTCAAAAAGAGCGAACAAGAGAAAAGGAAATGCCTAACGGTCTATGCCAAAAAATTGCATGCGATTTTATGCTTTCTTAGCACTTCTCTTAGTTTGCAAACAGGAGAGCATATGCATTTTCTTAGGGGTTGATTTTCGACTGACCAGTAAACATTTTGTTGGTTAGCTTAAGTTTATGGAGTGACCATTTCCTGGTCTAAAAAAGCTGCTAAAAGCTCTGAAGGAATGACTAAACATTTAAGAAAATTATGATGTAAAACGTTCAATACAAGCTAATTAAATGTTTCGGTAGACTTGATAAGATTGGGTTTTAAAGTTAAAACTCAAGTAGAAACCATACACTAGTTTGCAAATTATAATCCGTTCACACAAGCATATTAATAGCTCTAAGTTACAAGTACAATTTTCAATATTTTAAACATTATAGATACAGCTGACCTTTACTAATTTTTAAAGGCCTTACTTAAAGTATCTATAAATTTAAACGATTACAAGAAGAACAGGTCTATCCATTTATATAACATCTGAGATTTTCTGTGCCAGATAGTGGTTAATTGTTATAGAAGGCGAGGTGTAAAAATATTTTCTCTTAATCAATGCAAAGTATAATCTTATAAAGTCAAACAATCCAAAGATAAACATACGAAGCTAAAAAATATTGTTTATTAAAATGTTATATCTTGTTTGCATTTTAATTTAAAGATCTTGAGTAAAGTAAATTTATATTGCATATTAAAAACAACTTAAAGCTGGTCACCCCAATTGGTTTTCTCGGGGTTGATTGTGCTCCCAGTTTCTTTATTAAAATTTGGCCACTATCGCATGCGATACTGTACAACTCATTAAAAAAACAACAACAGGTTTGAGTTGGCCAACGCATGAATGTTGCATGAACCGAGCAACATGTTGCAAAGTGGCAATGAGTCAAGCTGTTGGCATTGGACGCATTTTGGTTTCGTTTTTGTTTTTTGGCCAGGATCATGGATCTTGGAGGGAGAAGAGATCATCATTATCCACATGCGGCTGATTACTCACGCGATGTCCAGCACACGCAATATCATTGGGTTCGGGTTTGGGTTTGGGATTATAGACACCTTATGTGATCCGGGGTCGGTAATCGGTTAGCCGAGTGTTTTGTGCATACTGTGATATATTGACAGCATTAAGGCAGCGATAGTCGCGCTTCATTAATCATAGATCCTTACGGGCTAAGGCCTATTAATTTGAACGCCACGAAACAAAACAGCTTCTCTTTGGGCCATCTTTAATGGTGTGAACACGCCAGGAGTAACAAATTGCGAAATTGTTAACACTGTGAAAAACTAGTGGTCCCGAAAACGAGAAGATACATTTTCTATATACTTAAAAGGAACAAAAAAATTATAATAGAACTAAGCACCTATTAAGGAAAATCCGAGAATCATATTCATAAAATGAAGATACTTGAAAATTCAATCTTAAATAGAAAGCATAAAAATTATAATAAAATATTATCGATATTATTATTGAATAATGTGAGCATCATTAAGTACGAAATCGACTAAAAAGCTAGACTTTCTGATATGAATTTTTTTAATAAATAAAACATTAATTAATTAATTATTATAAACAGTCCTAAATGCTGTTATCAGAAATGTAAATATTTTGATAACTAGTTTTAGAAATCAGCATGCTTTTCCCTCAGTGCAGTGAGTGAGGGAGAACGCTCTAGAAAGGGAGAGCGATAACCACCCGCTCTAGACAAAAGACAAAGCGATCCGAAGGACAACACAGCAGAAGGCGAACGGCGAAAACAGCATCGTAAAAAAAGGGAAAAAAGTTACACGCCTGCGCAGCGGGTGGCGCTTCGCTTGTAATAAAAACACGCCGGCGGGGGAGCGAAAGAGAGGGAAGCTGGGGTGCAGGGCGAGAGGGAAGATAGCCCACTCACATATCGAAGCTTTCGATCAAATGGCCTATCAGATGGCCGGGGTCCCCAGATCCACAGATCCAGAGATCCACCGATCCCCAGATCAGCAGACTTCGCCGACGATCCCTTGTGTGTTGAAAAATTCATTTTAATAAGCGCCCGTAAAATCAAGCGCGCAATATCTGAGCAATAAATAAATGACAATTATGAATTGTTCCCCGGACTAAACCGAAAACCCTTTTCCCAGCTCCTTTCGCATTTCCATCGGCGCCCGTCGAGCGCTATGTGGAATTTAATTCTGGCGCTCACTGTGCGGGTCTGTCATCGTGCCAGGGCATTAATTTGTTGTTTATCGCACCTTGTTAAAAACCTATCTTACAAAGCGGAAAGATGAGATGGCGATGCAGATGAGATATCCAAGGAATTCCACAGATACCTTTGGCAAATCAAAGGAATCAACTGAGAAACAGCCTTAAAAAGTAATTGAGACTTAACATATTGAACATTAGAGTTGTAGACAATTTTAAATATAAATCATACAATATTTTACATTTTTATTAAAAATAATAAACCATTTCGTGTTGACATCCGGCTCATTCGTTCTATAATAAACATTATTTATAAATGCATGAGAAAGCAAAAAACAAAATCACAAATAATAATAAATTTTGTCAATCAACAATTATGCAAACAAAAAAAAATATAATAAAATTATTTTACTATACCTAAAAAATAATTTGTTGTTGTGAATTTACTGCGGAAGCTAAAAATAGATAATATTTATGATCAAACGGGGTTGACATAAAATAAATCATATTTAAATGGTCGTTCGGGCTTGGCTTTATGACCATAGATAACCGGCAAGCGATAACAATGGAATTCTGTTTCCTCACCTTTCTGCTTTTTCTTAACAATACCTTGAAATTCCAGATCTCTAGTATATTTCTGGGAAAATGTACCAAGGCTATACTGTTTATAGCGTATCTTATCTAGTAAATTGCCAAATTATTAAAGTTAAAACCCAAGTATATTCTCTTATTTCTAGTCAACTTAAACTTTTTACCCAATATAGGCACAAAAATAAAGAAAAATGCGATTATGAATAATAACTGCGCATAGCAGTGATACTTATCATGGACAGCATACAAAACGCTTTGCTATTTATTTACCCAACAAATTCCACGGGCAACTCCAATCATTTTAACATTATATTTTTCCTTTTTTTTTGGCAATTGCGCGTACCAAAAATGTCAACGTCGCTTATGAGAAGAAAAAAAGGAAAAAAGTGAGACTAACCTGGGAGCAAGATCACGAACTAGTGGGTAACCTAATATACTCTAATCGAAAACAAGTTTTTGTAATATCCGATTATGTTTGGTACATTTTTTTTCTAGGATTAATTATATCACTTCGAAGTAATAGGTTAGTTTTATAGAAATAAGTTCAGTACGAAAGATTTACTGGTTTTCATCCTATTTAAGGAAAATATATTTAAGAAATCCCACCATGTTGTTGTATTCCTTAATATTCCTTAATATTAATGCAGTAACTGAAAGTATTGTGGTTCTAGTTTAATCATAAAGTTTATGCTACTTACTAACCTTTTATAGTTTTTTTCTTCAGGGTAAGCTAGGAAAATGTTTTTCCATAAGTTTTAGCCTTTTAGTTTACCATCAAAACCAGAAATCGAGCCTAAGAGTATTCTAAGCTTCGCTTTGATTTTAGTATTTCAATCCAGGCTTGTTTTTGTCAAATTCCGTGCGTATTTAATTTACGTTTTTTATTTTTTCCCAACTCTATCTGTGTTTTCATATTTTCTGTACAAGTTTATCGCGTTGCCTGTTGATTTATGCAAATTATTAAACGTTTTCTAATAACTCATTATGCCGCGTAAACAACGCGCGACGCATGACTTGACAGTCCTCCAATATACCGCGTAGATATGGGCATTTAGAGAGGGGTATTAAGGGGGGGCAGTACCATTAACCAACAAGCAGAGTTCCATTTCCATTACACCTTCAATTGGCAGTCACTACTGTTGCGTCTTTTTAGTGGAAACTTTTTGTTTTTAACACTCGCCGTCTTTTGTTGTTTTTCCGCTGTTAGCTGTCAATTTTCGCATCTGTCTACCGTCGAAGTGCCGGAGTTTCGTAGCGTTTAGCTTGGCTGGATGTCAACGTTTTTGCCCGGCGTGCAAATATGTTTCCATCCGTTTTGCCTGGTAATTAGGTAAATATTTTCCTATCGGGGGTCTCTCCATTTGCATAGATTTCAGAGTGCCGTGTGTTTGGGTTTTCTTGACCCAACATGGTTTCGTTGGCCGATGGCAAAGGCTTTTACTTTTATGTGCAAACTTTGAGCCGCGGGGTCAATAGAGGTTGCGATCGGGCATGAGGCCTGTAAAAAAAAGGACAGCAAAAGTGGATGGGATGTGTGTCTGTAAATCCATAAAAATCGAATGCTTTAATATGCGTTACAAAACCCTAAGAGTGTCGTTAGAAAATTCCACATGGCCATGCGAAAAAATTCCGTAAATTTGGTGGGAACTAGACAGTAACTAAACAGCGATAGTTGAGCTTTCTCACATGTTTAATAGGATTTGTATTGGCGATTCGATAACTGAACAAATCTTACTCCATTCGCCGATTGGCAGGTAATTGTTATTCGGGTTTTTTTTAAGCCCACAAATGCTTACAAAAACTA